TTCCTTTTGATACTAACTTGTTTCATCTTGACCAGTGGGAACTCCTAGAATTTGGTTCCTGCAAACTGAACATTCAAAAACCAAAGCAAACAAAGGGATTATTTGTTTCTGTTTCTGTTTTCTTTAAAGTGATGGACAAAACGTTGAGCCACCTAAGTTTACATCTAGAAGTAAGACTAATCTCACAGAGCAGGTTTGAAGGCTTTATGAGAAAGAGAATAAAATTTTTTATGAATACAACCCACAGAGGCTTAGCAACTATTGGCAACAGGTATTAAAGATATTTTGCTTTCCCAGATGATAGCGCTTTGTGAAGTCTGAAAATCTTTGATCTTAAACCAGGTATAAATCTACCCTTCCCAAAGGAGTTGATAGTCTCGTTGAAGAAGATAGCATTGTATTGGTTGTAATTAGGTTTTCTGGTAGGGACAGAAACCTCAAAATAATAGGTGCTTAGCAAATATACATGTATTTCTCTTTATATATATATATTTTAAAAAGTGAGCCAGAGCTGGCATGGAAGATCCAGTCATTAGGACCCCATACTCTTTCTGTCCTACACTGTAATTTCCACCTCATGATATAAGATAGCTGCTTCAGCTCCAACTATCACATCAGCATTCTAGTCATCAAGACAGTAGAAAAAAGAGAAGGAAAAGGATATGAAAACTCCCAGTAATGACATTCCCCAGAAGTTATGCAGACCACTCCTGCTATGTTCAGCCGGCCAAGAAAACAGTTCTAGGCCTACACTTAGCTATAAAGTGCACTTTCAGCAACAAAGGCTGAAAAACGTAGTCTTTATCCTGGCTAGCCAGATTGCCCAGATAACTTTCAGGGAGTCAGTTACCCCAGCTAGAAGGAGAGAGTAGATGTTTGGGCGGGAAATAGCAACACTTGCTTCAAGCCCACATTCAAAAACAAAACAAAACTACCCCTTTTGGTCAGTGTATCTCCATATGCATGTGTTAAAATCTCAGAATGGAGGGGTCATTTAAATATCCTCCTACCCTCCTGAGTGTCTTGATTATACTGGGGCATCTACTATATGAAACAAAATTGGACTGGTATCTGGCAATTTATGCTTAAAAATAAATTTTAGAGAATTGCACTCCTATACAGCAATAAAGATTGTTTTGTTTCATTATGTATCCCCAGCTAATACATGCCATCTCTACTTACCATGAGATTTCCTGATTAACTCAAGGTGAATAATACTTTATACTTCAACTACATACTAACGCTAAGGCAAAGGACATGAATAGTATCCATCATTCACAGAGTGTGTGGGATTCAGTCCTCAAAGTGACCCTCCTAAGGAAACTAAGGACCAGAATGGGCAACTGTGATAGTTTGCTCAAAGAAAAACAGCTTAGTTAATGACAGAGCTGGAGCTCCAACACAGGTTCATTTGTTTTCAGAGCCCGTTTATGTTTGGTTAACTGTGACATTCTGAAAGTTTCACTTATTTTTCTGCACTCCACAAAACTTTATGATAGAAAGGCAATTATCTATATGTAGCTTTGAGAGACTCCTGTGGGTTTTAACTTAAATTTTATTCATTTATTTATTTGTTTTTATTTATTTTGAGACAGAGTCTCACTATATTGCCCTCAGTAGAGTGCTGGGGGCATCACAGCTCACAGCAACCTCAAACTCTTGGGCTTAAGTGATTCTCTCGCCTTAGCCTCCCAGATAGCTGGGACTATAGTCACCCGCCACAACGCTGGGTTATTTTTGTTGTTGTTATTGTTGTTGTTGTTGTTTAGTAGGCCTGGGCTGGGTTTGAACCTGCCAGCCTTGATGTATGTGGCCGGCACCCTAACCACTGAGCTGTGGTCACCAATCCTTATTTATTTTTAAAACAACGTCCCGGCTGGAGTGCAGTGGCCTCATCATAGCTTACTGCAGCCTCAAACTCCTGGGTTCAAGTGATCCTCCTGCCTCAGCCTCCACATAGCCAGATCTACAGGCAAGTACAGTCACACCATGACTGGCTAATTTTCTCTATTTTTGGTAGTGATGGGGAGTCTTGCTTTCCTTTCCAGGCTGGTCTTGAACTCCAGGCCTCAAGATCCTCCCACCTGGCCTCTGAAAGTGC